AGAAACCCACAGGGCCAGTTCCACCCTGTCCTGTACAGTCACCGGGTGCTGGCTTGATAGCAGTCAGGCTGTCAGTCTTTGAAAGCTGAGCCGGGGCTGAGTCCGTTCCAGGCTTGGGGGTGACCAAGGGTCATGGCTCCACCAGCCTCCAGCACATGAGTAAGCCTGGTCTTTGAAAAAATTTTAAATCATGTTATTGGGGACTCTTACACCTCTTATCATAATCCATCCATCCATTGTGTCGAGCACATTTGCACATTTGTTGCCATCATCATTTTAAAAAAACATTTTCTTTCTATTTGAACCTTTGGTATCAGCTCCTCTTTTCCCCCCTCCCCATGAACCCTTGATAATTTATACATTATTATTTTTTCAAGCCTTACACTGACCGATGTCTCCATTCACCCACTTTTTTGTTGTCTGTGCCCCTGAGAGGGGGGTCATATATTGATCATTGTGATAGGCTCCCTCCACCTTCCCCTTCCCCCGCTGGTGTCCCTACTCTCATTATTGGTCCTGAGGGGCTTATCTGTCCTGATTCCTTGTGTTTCCAGCTCTTATCTGGACCCCCGTACATGCTCCATGCTCCGGTTGAACAGGATTTGTGAGGTGGCATCGGGGTCGTGATCGTGGGGGGATGGGGTGGGGGGGGCGGGCAGGGAGGAAGCATTAAGAACTAGAGGTCAGTTAGTGTGTGAAGCTCTTCAAACAGCAGGGCTTGGATTAGCCCTCTCGGGGTTGGGCTGCGTGCAACCACACAGGACATGTTTTCCTTTAATAATCGAAATAATAAAAATTAAAATGAATTTTGAACAAAGAGTAAAGGCTTGCAGCCTTGAGCCCCCTCCTGGTTCCTGACCCCTCAGACCTAAACACCGTTCTGCGCGGCAATAAAGGGAGGAAAAGCAAAACTGAAGTGGGCGTGGATTCTTTAGTGACACAGGTTCGTTACAAAGAAACAAACTGAACGGGGTACCCTGGGGCTTTAGCACAACTGCCTCCCCATGTCACCTGAGTCAGGGTGGTGACACCACTGTGACACACCAGAGCCTCAGACCCTGTGGGGGGGGTGTTACTATTGTGCCCATTCCACAGATGAGGCAACGGAGGGCCCACGAGCTTTGGGTGGATACCAGGAGCATTCAGGCTGCATCCCAAGCTCAATTTCTGTAGCCCTAACATCCTGGTCATGAAAACAGTTCCTTGCTTCTGCTTCCAGCCAGCCCCCCACCTCTTCAATCCAGACCTTTCCATGGCCCAGGAGGTGTCTCTGGGGTTTCTGCCAGGGTGGGGGTGCACTGGGCACAGGGCACTGGCTCTAGAGAGTGGGTTCAGATGGATTGTGCCCCACACCAGCCTTCCCCAAATTCCCATGGCCACTGCTCTCAGCCTGAGCCAAACCTCTCTCCCACAGGGAGCTTCTTCCACAGGGAGCCTCTAACACCTTAAGCTTGAAGCTCCTGGGGTGTGTGGATGGCCTGCACCTCCTCTTTAGTCTCCGCATGGGCTTTAGCTTTGGGCTGGTGTGGACCTAAGGCTTTCGGTAGATGGGAGATGGCCGGATGGAAGGGAAAGATAGGTGGGTAGATGTGTGTGTGTGTGTGTGTGTG